CATCTTGCGCAGTGTTTGCGCTGAAACGCCGAAGCGTTGGAGTTCGATGCTCCCTGTCGTTGAGTTTTGCGTTGAATAACGCCGTCCATGCCTCCACCGGCTGCACACCATTTTATGTGAATGGTCTCACACACCCTCGCGTTCCGTTAATGCTACCACTGCGTGGTTCAGGGCTTGGTGAGGAAGGAGTTGCCGATCGGCTTGCTGATATCAGCCCTTCTACTGTTCAAAAACAGGTAAGCGAGTTTATCGCAACGCGATTGAATATCTTACGACATGTGCGTGACACACTGGATGATAGCCAAGACAAGCAGAAGGAACAAGCTGATGATAAAGGCAGAAGTTGCATTGAACGTTATGAAGTCGGAGACCAAGTCTACTCAATGCTAAAAACCTACCTACAGATGTAGTGTATGCTGTCTTCTAGACAAAGTTGCGCCCGCGCTTCATTGGACCATTCACGGTCGTCGCCAAGAAGGGACTTCCGTATACGCTCAACGCTCCGCGAAAACTGCGCACACACCCCGTGTTCTACGTTGTTTTGCTTAAGCCGTATCGGGATCCGTTCCATGTGAATTTGGAGGCGCTTGCGCCGGGTAGGTTGGCCTTGCCATCGATTTGCTGAATCCGTATCAGGAGGTCAAGCTGAGCCTCCATCCGGGCTTGGCCCGACTCCAACGCCTGGACACGGGCTCGCATCGCGTCAAACACACTCTGGGTCTTACCCAATGTCTCACGGAGACCACTCAGCTCGAGAAGCATCTTCTCATGCTCCTCTTTCGGTATACCGACCACCTCCGACGCTGGTCGATGAGCAAGGGAACCGACAGTTCCATGAGGAGCGACTCCTGAAACGACGTCGTCGTCAGAGTCAATACCAGTATCTGGTGAAGTGGCTAGAGTATTCAGAGTCGGAAAACCCGTGGGAGTTTGAGAGACCCCTTCGGCAGGATTGACCATACGCCGTTGATGTTTTTGAACATCGTGGCATGGGTCATCCCTCGACCGAGAGCGCTTCTAACCAATAGTGGTGGAGGCAGGTGGGTAGTTGGGTCCCGCTTGACCAACACCCACATCAATCGGCACAGCCGGAGCATAGCGTGTGCAAGTTCGCAACTGGCTATTGGCCTTAAGCTTGGATTAATCATACCGAGGCTTTCGCTCTAGACGAACATCTGCCACATCGGCATTTGCTCTGAGAGCTAACACGCTGCTGAGGTGTCGTTTCCGATGCAACCAGCAAACAAAAGCGTTGTCTTCTTCTTACTGAGATTCTCCTGCGAATAAGAGGATGTGTATACCCTTCATCGGTAGATCCGGTGCACCCCGTGCTTGCGTGTCAAGTCGCAACTTGTATTGACTCTGAGTCGTCAAGAGGGGTTGCTGGTACCTCTCACGAAGTGCCTGTCGACTCGCCATCTCATCAAAAGATGTAGGCTCATCGCCAATGGTCATCGTTGCCAAAGAACGACCTATAGTTTGGCGTACACACTCCTTCACATTGAGTGGTGTGAATAGATAGCCATGACGATCCTCAAGGGTTGCAGCAAGCTGCATGCGGCGCTGAGCGTTTTTTTCTCGTTGGATAGCTAACTTTTGTTGCTCATCGAGCGGATTCGTGATGATGATGGCATCGCCCACGATAAGTGTTTGATGCGGCGCCGATGGCGCATTGGCTTCGCCACGCTCGGCAAATGGGTTTGGTGCAATATGAGGCGGTGCCTCTTGCACTGGCGCTGGACATTGTCCTCACTTCACCATGGATATCGGTATCGCTACCATAATACACATCCACATCGATGCCAAGGTAAGACGAAACAGTCGAGGACTTATGGGTGGCGATGCCATGGTGTTTGGTGTTCTGCTAACCGTGAGGTTGAAGCGCACACACACCGTCCTCTTCGAGGAAAGAATTCAATCGACGTTTTGTGGAAACGTCAGTCTGGTGGGGGAGGGTGGAACGGATTTACTCGTCGACTGGTAGTCGACAATAGGTGTGGTACACACAAGGCATGGGATCATCTTTAAAGTAATATTAGAACACAACTATCAATTGTTAAAAACTGATGTCTGTCAACCATTAATTACAAGATCTTTTATTACGTTTATTTAGGACATTAGTGAGTATATTTATCACTTTGTTCTAAGGATTCTTTTAGGTGAGAGAAAGAACTAAAATTCAGTTCCTATTTTGATCAACGAAAGACACGTGCCTCTCTGAGTGAGGCGTCTTGCGATCGTAAGGAAGTAGCAACGCCTTGTTAAGGCATCTACTCCTTGTGCACTCAGTGCGTTTGATTCTTTGAATCGTTTGGTCCCCCTGATAGAGGGACCGTAAGCTCTCTGAGCTTGTTGACTCTTTGAATCGGGTTCTTTGAACCAAACCTTAGCTCTCGAATCAGTTGACTCTTTGAGTCGGGTTCGTAGAACCAAAGTTGCTCATTTAGCGTTAAGTCTTCCTCTGACTTAAGGAGCTGTGTAGCTCCGCTACAGTCCTGGTCGATGGACGGACTACGAAAGTGCCACCATGTGCTACGGGGCACGCCTGATGTCCACATAACAGAAGGTTGTGTGCACTCGACGTCACGTACACGTGGCGAGAAATCGCAGAAAAGTAGGCAGAACTCGAAAGCTCTGTCTAAAGGAAAAAGTAGAGCTGTTATCTAATATTTTGTTTCTATAGTAAGCCATATTTGTCTTAATCTATCTATATTAAGCTACAATCACCTATGTAGGTCTCTTGCTCATCACCCATTGCGCGCGTCCAGCAGCGATTGGTTGTTAATTTGGTTGATGTATTGTCTAAAGCGACCAAGAAGTGGAGCACCCAAGAATATTATCCTCGGGGGTAAGATTCTGCCAACATCGCTTATCTCTAGTGGTGTTGATTGTATATTATCTATAACGATAATATTCAAAAATCGATACATTCGTATCAAATATATGGATTGGGTTTATCCCGTTACAGGCCAGATGACTGGCTCTTAGGAATTCTTCGTTTATGTCCGTTGTTGCTCGAAGTGTCCAATCTGTCAAGTGGAATGATGTTGGTCCAGTCGTTATATGATACGTACAAACGTCGGTGCAAATTAAAATATACCAAATCGTCAGTGGTTCGGCGATGCTAGATCGTTTAATGTTTCCATTGACCACTCCTTTGTGCACGAACAAATCCGTTGACACGCGTATGCCTTTTGTAACGGGGCAGCCCGTTACATATAATTGTCACTAAAGAAAGTGACAATAAAGAATATTAAGTTGAATATTCTTTGAACAAACCACCGATAGTGGTGATATTGGTGAGGCGACCAAAGGGTCTGCTCATTGGTTGATATCTTGATGATATCAACCCACCAATCGCCGCAGGACGCGCGCAATGGGTGGTGACGAGACGTCACCATACACTCAGTTATATTAGCATAATTAAGTCAGGCTAAACAGAGAGACATTAGCAAAACAACTTAATTATATTAATTCAACAGTTTTACTTTTCCCTTATCCTACTCTTCCTCGTTTGCCTCGTTTACGCTTGTCGGGGCACCTAAACCCTTGCGTTAAGTTCACACAAGGGTGTGCCCCGTTACACCTTTGCTACAGAATGCATAGGCTACGGCACGAGCATCACGATTCTGTGTAATCGCAAGTGGACCGACGGTATCGATAATGTAGCTACTGAGTTGTCAATGTGCTACGTCTTCGATGTGGACCGAGTGGTCAAAGGTGCACATGCTGGTAAGCATCATCTCATCCGCCGCAGATCGCAATATTGCACCCATCGTCACAGCTTTCGGACGCCAACACTCAAATTGACACCGTCGTCACTACCCCAGTTAGTGGCTTCTTGTGTGACAACCATATCACTCCAGCAACATGCGGGCTATACTAGCGCGCATTCCACTTAGTATGGCCCGCGACAGCATTATCATTTTCTGTCGGCCTTTTCAGTATCATATCTGCTCTTGCTATCTCCTTTGTTCGGCATCGTATATGCTGCATCAGGCGCAGTAATATACAGCGACACTTTGACACGGCGCCAACCCTTCCCAATCCTTTCTAGCGATACCTACCGCCAAGGCGACAGCTACACATAAACGCAATATCAAACAAGTTGTGTACGGACAAAAGAGATAAAAGAGACGTAGACTCCCAGAAGACAGATAGTGTGCACTATTGGACTACGCTCGAAGAGCCAGCGCACCTGTTTCCACTTGCTCAACAAAATTTTGACTGCAGAAAGCGCAACTGCATTTGTTGATCAAGTACGAGAAGAAACGAAGAAGGTACACGTGAACAGACGGATGATTCCAGGCATGTGTATAATCGTACGTATCAAATACGTCGTCAGTGCCTTACTTCTATTTTCTATCTTGTATGGCATGTTTTGTTTATTTGGCGTGCGTTTGTCCTTTCTCATCTTGTAGTGCATTTTTATGTTCGTGCTTATCTTCTGCGTTTTTTGTATCCTCCTTTTGAACATCAATCAATGAGATCTAAAATTTTGCCGGGTGAGGGCTTATTGACGCAAAGGGGAAAGACGACCGATATTTTTCCGTAGAAAGACGATTGGAAGCCATACAGCGCATCCAGATTATGGACACGCGGGAATGATCTGATGCGACCAGCAAAGGGCCCACTGTCCCTCCAGTCGTTTATCCCACTGTCCCTCCAGTCGCTTGTCTCGCTGTCCCTCTGTCCGCCATAAATAAGCTCTGACCCACCAAATGCGATTATTTGACTCATAAAAGGGTCTTTTCCGCTTTCTGAAGCGGACCTCGTGTCGCTGTCTCATCATTCGATACGGGCGAGTCATCATCCAAAGTGTGTGTCACGAAGATAAAGACAGACCCCTCTGTGTCACAAAGATACAGACAGACCCCTCTGTGCCACGATACCAAACTTCAGTATCCCAACGAAACAAGTTCACTGCCACGATCAGTGGCCGCCACGTTTCGTTTGCTTCGCATTTCTCAACTTTCCCTCTCGCCCTATCGTGTGACAACATGAGGCTCACGTGCTTCCTCGCTCTCACGTGTGCCGTTCTTGAACGCAGTCATGCTATCGCGGAGTCCGAAGTCGCGCTGACGTCGGATATCGCCCCTGTTTCCCGTATTCTCCAGCCAAACGCTCAGTCCGCGGAATACTCGAGTGAAAGGAAGTCGCTTCGAAGCCGTGATTCGCCAGAGGAGGAAGCAACGGCACTACTAGCCACGGACGAGCAGCGAGAGCTGACCTCGGCTAGTCTTCTGGCACCACTTCTTGATAATGTGGAGAATGTGGTGAAGAAGATCTCGAGTACGCCAAGCCAGGTTATGCCTGTTCAACTCAAGCCTGTTCAGCCTAAGTTTGATCAGCTCAAGCCTGTTCAGCTCAAGCTCAATCAGCTCAAGCCTCCACAGCCTGTGCCCGGTCAGTTTGAGCTTCACGTGCCGCCACATCAGATACGGAAAAGGACGTCGACAATGCAACGAACCAAGAGAGTGGTAGATCTAGTTGCATATGGTCAAGGGAAGGCCAGGCCGTCGAGACTGCAATGATCCAAGCGACTGATGTATTCGATCGCCTGTGGGGCTCGAGGCCACTGAAGACAAGTGCCGAACGTCTCAGACGACTCGGGGGGGTGGGGGTCAGGTCAGAACTGCAGTCACAACGAGTAGTAAAAGTAGGGCGAACATAGGCGACTTGTCGACTTGTACACAATGAATTTACACCTGCAGGGACAATTGATGACTGGGCGTTTGTGTCTTGCTTTTTCCTTCTGGCCTCACTCGCCTTCTGCTTCTTTGCTCTCAGCGGTGTTTCGTCACGTCGACCCCCGTTTCGCCAGCTGTCTTTTAGCATCGACTACCACAGTCGTCGTCATACTCCCACAGTCCCACGACCGACGATAAGGCCGTTCTTGAGTCAATTGTCTGCTACCGCGTGTTGCAAGTCGCCCGTAACACAGTCGCCACGTGCACAACTCGCACACTCGCTCGCGATTGGTTCGACGGCCTGTGCTATCTGCATACGAGGGCATCGAGGTCATTATTAGCCAATGCGATAGAAAACAGAGGAGAAGAGACCGATGTACAGGACAAAAAGCAGCGGGAGACGCTGGATGAAGGGCACGTGAAGAAGAGGCGAGACGCGCAGGAGAGACCGCTCGTTTTTATTGAAGCAGTAACAAGAGGCGAGAGAGAGAGAGAGAGAGAGAGAGAGAGAGAGAGAGAGAGAGAGAGAGAGAGAGAGAGAGAACGAGATGAGTCCCGCGCGCTGGACGATTTGATTGCCTTCCGTCTGTTCGTGTGCCCGACAACAGACGGACGGCAATAAAAGAGACAATGAGACGTCGTTGGGTCTGGACGTGCATTGAGCAGCACCACGTTGCGGCCGCGTTCGTTGATGCGAACAAACTTGTGGCCATGGGAGACGATGATGATGGGGATGATGCTGGAGCTAGAGCTCGCACTAGAGCTAGTGCTGGAGATGGTGCTGCTATCGACGGGCACGACGTGCTGCTGTTTGCAGTCGCGTGCTACTGGAATCGAGCGTTTCATCGCGCGATTTACGCAGTAAGGGAGCCAGATTGGTGGACGTGGACGGTAGCAAACGGATCCGAGCGAGGCTGTCTCTTCATGTGACGCTGCGTGCAGCTTGGGCGTTGGGAAAGTGTGGGGTAGGAATATGCTGCTGCGGTTTTGAATTTGGACACTGACGTTTTGAGTTGTGTGAGCTCGGGGCTGATTGTGGTTGTGGGCTTTTAGCCGGCGATCAGACAGAAAGACGAGTGCTTGGATTCTTTGAAAGCAGGGATGCCTATAGTGGAGCAGGACGATGTACGACTGGACAAGAACATGCAGCCGGCTGATACTGCTGCGGACGAAGCACATGGATTGAATGTGGTGGCGTCGCTGGCACTTTTGATGGTGAGACGTTCGAAGTCATTGGCAACCGCGAGAACGCGACGACTTACTTTCGTATTGCGCTGCGGTGCGGCGTGCAATGTCGGCGTTTTTCGTTCATTCGACGAATACATGCTGTCACCTCAGGAGGAAAAGAGCTTGTCGCATTGCTGACTTTTATCTTGATGAAACGCAGTTGCTGGAGCGTCTAAAGCGGACGCACATTGGAAAAGTGATTCACATATCGATACTTATGCTGCAGTCTGAATGTCTCACGCGGTCTTTCATGCGGCTCGGCAGCACAGTCCAGTACAGTCTATCGGCGATAAATTTGCCACGGAGGAGCAACAGTTTGAGCTTGTGGGGAATGCACACTCGTACGCGGTCATTGATCTCCCGTTGGCAAAGTGACTTTGATGATCGATACGTCTTCGCCGATGTGAACGCAGAATGTGACAAGAGCATGACGCGTTAGGATCAGCGTGATCTACAGCGAGCGTATGCCACATGTGAAGGTACATGCGTTGGTCTGGTGGTGAAACGTTGCATTTATTTAGCGGAAGGAAAAAAGCTCATGGTTGCTGTGCAACCTCGTTCGTATGCGTGGTGGAGATCCATTCAATTTCCGCGTGATTCCCGGACATGTGTGTAAGCAGTAGAAATTGGCAAGAAGCGCGAGTTTTTTCAGTGCGCACACAAAATGGCTCGCAGCTTTCGTGTCGTTTTGTCGTGTGCTCATCTCGTGAAATTGTGCGATGCTAAGTTTGCTCTTCACTGGACTTTAGGTGGACGTATACCCCACCTAAGCATCGGCTTGGTATACAGTGGGCTGCTACTACCTTTTGTCTCAAAATTTTGAAGCTGCACAACGCTATTTTCGATGGGTAAAAGGTGTGATACGTGGCATCGAAGTGTACGTCGTAAACTCTGCCATGCGGTTTGCCGCAAGGCAATATCGTTGGAGCCACGCTTGCGCCTGCATGAATTTGCGCTTGGGAACTCGTTTAGCGCTCAGGACAAAAGTGATTTGGCAATACCGTCGTGCCGAACGGCCTCGAGTCTTTTTCCAGGATCTCGTGTGCCCGTTTTGTATATGGAACTGAGGTTTTGCGTACGAACAACTTGGTCCAAGCCCAAGATATAATCCGTCAAGCAGATCTTCTCAGCCCGTCCGACCTGTTGATTGACACGTAATGTGGAGTGCCTCTACAAGCAAAAATAGTAGTAATCAAGCAACCATGGCGTCCATGAATGCTATACCGCTATGCAATGGCCTTCCTGAGGTAAGTATCGATGTCATCGCTCAGAGCGTCCAGCTGGAAATCTAATATTCGACAAACTTTTAGCGCAAGCGGCTCATGTAAGCTTACTAACCAACGCTTTTCCACTGTGGGTACTCTAGCGCAAACATGAGTATGCGCAGCATTGATGCTGAGACGAAACATGAATTTTCCGATTATCTTGGCTGTCTTTTTTCGTCACGGGAAAGTTTGACCAGGATATTCACTGTTTTCAACGTGCACTCAGACGAGCACCTCAGAATATACGTTGCGTCCAGAGCAGGATGAGCTTCGATTCGGGTCTATCTGATCACCCGCATTCAGAGCAGGATAAGCTTTGATTCAGGACTATCTGATCCACGTGAGATTATCGCAGTTGTCGGCAAGTGTAAGCAGCGTGACAAGTGTTGACCAGCCGAGACCAAAGCTGCGATTCAACGACAGGGGACTGAAGAGGTGTATGCGGCTGCTACTGCATGTACATATATTGGGCGAGTTGTTCAGTCTGTAAGTGAAAGAAGATGCGATGCAAGCGGCTATGCAAAGAGACAGGTCGAGCTCGTGAAAAACAGAATAGTTGTGACAAATCGCACAGATGGCGCCAGGTAACACTGTAGAGCAGGCCCATTGTAGTCTCTGGACATAGCTCTGATAAGCACAGGAGATTGTCATTGCATATACTTACATGCGCGACGTGATAAAGTATAGCGTCGACACGCACCTACTTTATGTTCCCAAACAAGCGATCTCTCGATTCGATCACGTAACGCTTGCATCATCCCGCTTCAAAGGTTTCCTGAAGCGCTGACACACCCGTGGCTTGCAGAGGGGTGATCGGTCCGCGAGCCTTGCTTGAGAGGGTCTTGCGGAGTCAAAGGTAAAATTGAGAGTGTATTCAATACCATGTTAGCCTACCGTGCCTACCTGAATGCTTCATCTAATTTCATCTATCCATCGACCATCCATCAATCAATCCATCCGATTGTTCTTCGCTTAGTCGTAGCTTGGTCGTGGAGTAGGATCCATCCATCATTAACCAGTGTAGGAGGCAGTTATGTCATACTCCCCCCATGAAGCAATCACACTAGCACGGGAAGATGCGAAGAATTGATAGCCGTTGCGTCGTCGCGCCCTTGTCAATAGTGACGGTTCCATTTTCATGCACAATGCTAATGGGGTACGGTCCATCTGCCACTTTTGTAGTCTTTGCGCGAAACTGTTTAGGTCTTCGAATCATTATGTGGTCGCCGGGATGGTAAAAGTGCACGAGCCGTTTGGTATTTTCACGTGTGTTGTCAGCTAGGATAGCCCGAAACCGCCGTTTTGACAGGTAACTCCAATTTGCTTCGTGCAGTTGGCGTGAAATCATGTCTTGTCCAAAAATGAGTTGTCCCGGAGATGCATTGAGTATGCTATGATAGCTCGCACGCACTGCAAAAGCGGCGTAATGAATGACCTTCTTCCAATCTACGCCTGTGTGACAACGGATGACGTTCAATAGCTCCAGATGAACACGCTCACAGATCGCATTCGCTTGCGGATTCTTTGCTGTGATTGGCTTTGATTTCAGGCCGTAACTGCGCAGTAATTCCTGGAATTCTTCTCCTGTAAACTCCAACCCTTGGTCATGGACAACTTGTCGTGGACGCGGATAGCGGCAAAGCCACTCACGATCAAAACTTTCAGCCGTCGTCAGCGATTCTCTATTTGGCTGTACAGCAGCTTCCAGCCACCGAGTAGCTTGATCAATCATAGTTATCCCGTAATAGCCGCCGTCGTATGGTCCGATAAGATCAACGTGTACAATATCGAATGGGTTGACGGTTCTATTGGTCCGTGGTGGTAGAAGTCCGTAGGCTTGTTTCCCCCCGTGTAATTTCGAGCGCTTGCACTTGATGCATTTGCGAACAAACTTGTCGATCGTTGTTTCCATGTGCGGCCAGTAGAAGGTACTTTGCATCGTTTTATGTTGTCGATGACTTGCTGGATGGCCGAGATTTATGTGGTACCAGTCGATCAAGTCATCACGAAGACTGTCAGGGACGATTACTCGGTGTTTGTAACCAACCATGGTACATCCCAAGAGAACCTGGAGCTGATAGTCTGGGTTATTGGTACCGGCTAGACATGCTGCTTTGATCGATGCGATCATTTCATCGTTCTCTTGGTGCTGGAAGATCACTGGACCATGCATTACGCACTCTGGTGTCGTATTTAGCGTGTAGACTTCGTCGTTAATTGATGGACCTTCACTGGTCGCAAATCGCATGCGTGAGAAAGCATCTGCTCCAATGTTCTTCTCCCCTTGAATATAGGTCATTGTCAGGCGATACTCAGAGAGGAGTAACTTCCATCGTTTCACTCGTAGACTTTTCTCATTGGGGTAGATCAAGTTTTTGTGATCCGTATGGACCACGACGGGAAATCCGAGGAGAATCGTTCGGTATTCGCGTAACAGCTCAACGATCGAAAGGAGCTCCAGCTCCATGGTGGTATAGTTGATCTGGTGCTTGGTGAGACTGCGCGAGTAACATGCCAGAATCTTGTTGCCTTGCATTATCAGTCCACCGATCTGAGTTCCGCTAGCATCCGCGTAGACATGAAACGGCTCCTTAAATTTAGGGAACGCTAACAGGACGGCCTCTGCAAACGCACGCTTGATGTCGTGAAAGGCCTTCGTATCGCTGGGTAGCCATGTAAAGGGTACCTTGGCGCTTGTAAACCGATATAGCGGCTTGCATACGGTTGTCTTGTTCGGAATAATGTCGCGGTAGTAGTTGATCATGCCTAAGAAACGTCGAAGCTCTTTTCGGTTGCGTGGCACTGCGATCTTCTGAATGGCCTGGGTTTTCTTTTCTTGAGGCTTCATTCCATCGGCCGATAGCGTAAAACCAAGGTAATCAACCTCCTTGCACCAAATATGGCACTTTCTTCCATTCAGAGAAACGCCGTAGGTCTGCAGTCGTTCGAAGAGGATGCGCAAATGAGAGAGATGGTCTTCGTCTGTACTGGAAAATACTAGCAGGTCATCCAGATACACCACGATGAACGGCAGGTCACCAAAGATACAATCCATGCACGCTTGGTATTCATCTGGGGCTGTCGATATACCCATCGGTAGTCGCTTGTACTGGTATTTGCCGAATGGCAAACAAAAAGCTGTCAATGGGCGGCTTGTTCGAGCTAGTCGTCGGGCATAGTATCCATGGTTTGCGTCGAACGTTGAAAGACAACTTGCGTTGGACAAGCGCATAAGGATTTCTCTAATGCGCGGGACGTAGTATGGGCTCCTTCGTAGATACTTGTTAAGCCCACGATAGTCGTTAAGCAGACGCAGTGAACCATCTGGCTTGCAGACGAAAAACGCGGGTGATGCCATCTCCGCGTCATAAATTTGCTCTAGAACGTCAGCATTGATAAGCCGCTGAATGGTCTCCTTGGCTTTGCTTTCCTGGCTGCGCGCGATGGGATACGCCTTTGCATGAACGGGCTTGTAATCCGGTTGGATAGGCAGCTCGTAATCCGGAAAGCGCATTCGTCCAAGATGTCCGTCGTAAAGCCTTTTGTACTCGACTAGCAATGCCAAGCATTTAGTCTTCATATCGGGGTCAAGATGATGAGGCAGGAAAGTCTCTGGCTGGACTCCTGTTGTGGGTGTTTCCTTCCATTCGTCTTGAAACTCGAGATCTTCGTTGTCCACCTTGGGTCTTTTCGCTTTCTCTTGCCCTGTGTTCAGCCGGAGCAAGCAGTCGTCCCATTGCACCAACCTGTCTTTGAAGTTCAAAACCAGTCCTAGTGCATTCATGACATCTCTTCCAATAACCATGTTATCGCTGCTCGATTTAATCACTTCAAATTGGTGTGTGACGATTGTGTCTGGCTTTAGTTGTGGGAAGAAGAATTGTGTCACCACCTTTCCATTGCTTGGTACTGCGCCGCGCATAGTGTCAAAGATAGTGGGTGATGTCGTAACATTCTGTCGACCCAGCTTCACAATACCAGCAAGTGTCGCACCATTTACAATACTCTTAGATGCTCCACTGTCGAGCAGAGCTTCGATAGCATCTTGATTGCGATGCAGCTTGACCATGATGCGTAATGGTGCACTGGTGACAGTTCTGTCCTTTTCCA